TTTGTTGGTAAAATTAATTATGCGAGAAATGGCGGTGGAAACGCCTTTATGCGCAAATATTGATCTAATAACCAGCATATCAAACTAAACTTGGAGTCACAGGAAGACAATATGGTGGGTGCTCCTCCCACTGACTCGGGAAACCATGCAGTTTATTAGGCTACAGATTAAATAATTTATGATGAACTTCACAGGGTGGTGATCTTGATGCTCCTTTCCAATAAATAACGAGGGTCTGATTCTGGTGACTTGATGATCGATGCTTAACTGCCCTTTTGACAAATATAAATATTCTCTCTCTTATCCATAATAATCCCATTATGTAGACTAGCCTACCGCACTTTATATGCCAGCTGCTGGCTAGAGCGCAGGTGCCAGACCAGAGTAGTAGGCGCATTTGTTTATGTGACAAAGCTATCCCTAGAGTTGAAAATGCGATGGAAACACATTGAACTTTAGATTTTTATTCGGTACATGAAAATGTAAGCGAAAAAGTACATTTTGTGTGCACTACGTCATCACGCACATATCTTTTATCAACAACAAGTCCGTTTTGTGGAAACACCACTGGTGGGAAAATGCACATATTTTCTTTATGCGGATTTTAAAATATTCACATGAAAATCTGTCGCGGATGGAAACCTAGCTATTGACCATAAATTGTTTCCGGAATTCCACCAAAACCCGAGTGCATTTAACTTTGTGCCACGAGGTGGCAGTATTGTGTGTATATATATATATACAAAAAATGGTAGGTTATACATAAAGGTAGGAACACTGTAAAACCAAAATGTCACTATAAAGTTATAGAAGCATACAGAGCAGCGTGAATCAGTGTGTGTGTGTGTGTATGTTGGTGTTAAGGGCATGATATAGTATATTATTTTTAACTGATCATTATTTGTCATGTAATTTCCTTCCTGACCCTGTGTGAGCATGACTAAGTATGATGCCTTGTATCTGTGTCCCATATCTGTCTTTTCTCTATGCATGCCTCCCTTATCCATCCTACTGTCACTACCTGACCTACCACAGCCAAGTGGTAAAACACCTTCCCATGCAGAGCTGGACACATGCAAAATCAGATGAATCAATGTGAAAGGTCTCTCATGTGGTAAAATATCATTTCAACCTCAAAATTGTATTTTGTAGCCTCCTTTCCAGTCCGTAATGAAACAAGGTTCCATTAATGCACCATAAAAGTCAGTAAAACTGTAAATTATGTTTCTCAGTCATTTCTTGGAGGGGTAATAACCAGAGGCGGTATAGATTCTAACCATCTCTGGTGGTAATAACCGCTAAAGAGCAGTAGTGGTGCATGGGTAAAATCACTGAGGAAGCCAAGCCAGAAAAAACTACAACACATGACCAAAAGTATGTGGACAGGGCTCTGTGCAGGCCAGTCAAGTTCTTCCACACCAATCTCAACAAACCATCTGTATGGACCTCGCTTTGTGCACAGGGGCATAGTCATGCTGAAACAGGAAAGGGCTGTCACAAAACTGCTACCACAAAGTTGGAAGCACAGAATCGTCTAGAATGTCATTGTATGCTGTAGCGTTAAGATTTCCCTTCACTGGAACTAAGGGGCCTATCCCAAACCATGAAAAACAGCCCCAGACCATTATTCCTCCTCCTCCAAACTTTACAGTTGGCACTATGCATTAGGGCAGGTAGCGTTCTCCTGGCATCCGCCAAACCCAGATTTGTCAGTCGGACTGCCAGATGGTGAAGTGTGATTCATCACTCCAGTGAGTGTTGCAACAGAGGACAGACGATTTTTACACACTATGCGCTTCACCACTCGGCAGTCCCGCTCTGTGAGCTTGTGTGGCCTCCCACTTCGCTGCTGAGCCGTTTCCACTTCACAATAACAGCACTTACAGTTGACCGTAGCAGCTCTAGCAGGGCAGAAATTTGACGAACTGACTTGTTGGAAAGGTGGCATCCTATGACGGTGCCACGTTGAAATTCACTGAGCTCTTCAGGAAGGCCATTCTACTGCCAATGTTTGTCTATGGAGATTGCATGGCTGTGTGCTCGATTTTAAACACCTGTCAGCAACGGGTGTGGCTGAAATAGTCGAATCCACTAATTTGAAGGGGTGTCCACATACTTTTGCATATATAGTTGTGATAATTGCGTTGTTTGTTCTATAACCTGTTAGTTAATATGCCTTGCGACCGTGATATATGCCTAAGGCCGAGACAATAAGAAGACACAGTGGCAGAATAAATTCAACCACACCTTTGTTTCATCACAAAAACCGGAGAGCAACCTCTGTCCGGTAAAGTCCACAAAGCATATTGCATGTAACAAACAACCCACTGACAAATAAATGATCAGTGTATAATTTTAATGGTAGGTTTATTTGAACAGTGAGAGACAGAATAACAACAAAAAAATCCAGAAAAACGCATATCAAAAATGTTATAAATTGATTTGCATTTTAATGAGGGAAATAAGTATTTGACCCCCTCTCAATCAGAAAGATTTCTGGCTCCCAGGTGTCTTTTATACAGGTGACGAGCTGAGATTAGGAGCACACTCTTAAAGGGAGTGCTCCTAATCTCAGCTTGTTACCTGTATAAAAGACACCTGTCCACAGAAGCAATCAATCAATCAGATTCCAAACTCTCCACCATGGCCAAGACCAAAGAGCTCTCCAAGGATGTCAGGGACAAGATTGTAGACCTACACAAGGCTGGAATGGGCTACAAGAACATCGCCAAGCAGCTTGGTGAGAAGGTGACAACAGTTGGTGCGATTATTCGCAAATGGAAGAAACACAAAAGAACTGTCAATCTCCCTCGGCCTGGGGCTCCATGCAAGATCTCACCTCGTGGAGTTGCAATGATCATGAGAACGGTGAGGAATCAGCCCAGAACTACACGGGAGGATCTTGTCAATGATCTCAAGGCAGCTGGGACCATAGTCACCAAGAAAACAATTGGTAACACACTATGCCGTGAAGGACTGAAATCCTGCAGCACCCGCAAGGTCCCCCTGCTCAAGAAAGCACATATACATGCCCGTCTGAAGTTTGCCAATGAACATCTGAATGATTCAGAGGAGAACTGTGTGAAAGTGTTGTGGTCAGATGAGACCAAAATCGAGCTCTTTGGCATCAACTCAACTCGCCGTGTTTGGAGGAGGAGGAATGCTGCCTATGACCCCAAGAACACCATCCCCACCGTCAAACATGGAGGTGGAAACATTATGCTTTGGGGGTGTTTTTCTGCTAAGGGGACAGGACAACTTCACCGCATCAAAGGGACGATGGACGGGGCCATGTACCGTCAAATCTTGGGTGAGAACCTCCTTCCCTCAGCCAGGGCATTGAAAAAAAAATTTGTGGTCCTCTGTAGCTCAGCTGGTAGAGCACGGCGCTTGTAACGCCAAGGTAGTGGGTTCGATCCCCGGGACCACCCATACAGAAAAAAATAAATGTATGCACACATGACTGTAAGTCGCTTTGGATAAAAGCGTCTGCTAAATGGCATATTATTATTATTATTATTAAAATGGGTCGTAGATGGGTATTCCAGCATGACAATGACCCAAAACACACGGCCAAGGCAACAAAGGAGTGGTTCAAGAAGAAGCACATTAAGGTCCTGGAGTGGCCTAGCCAGTCTCCAGACCTTAATCCCATAGAAAATCTGTGGAGGAAGCCGAAGGTTCGAGTTGCCAAACATCAGCCTCAAAACCTTAATGACTTGGAGAAGATCTGCAAAGAGGAGTGGGACAAAATCCCTCCTGAGATGTGTGCAAACCTGGTGGCCAACTACAAGAAACGTCTGACCTCTGTGATTGCCAACAAGGGTTTTGCCACCAAGTACTAAGTCATGTTTTGCAGAGGGGTCAAATACTTATTTCCCTCAATAAAATGCAAATCAATTTATAAAATTTTTGACATGCGTTTTTCTGGATTTTTTTGTTGTTATTCTAAAATTAATTAATTAATATGACATTTAGCAGACGCTTTTATCCAAAGCGACTTACAGTCATGAGTGCATACATTTTTGTGTATGGGTGGTCCCGGGGATCGAACCCACTACCTTGGCGTTACAAGCGCCGTGCTCTACCAGCTGAGCTACAGAGGACCACAAGTCTCTCATTGTTCAATTAAACCTACCATTAAAATTATAGACTGATCATTTCTTTGTCAGTGGGCAAACGTACAAAATCAGCAGGGGATCAAATACTTTTTTCCCTCACTGTACATGACCTACAGCATGGTGAAGAAAGTTAATGTTTCCGACATTTTCAACTACTAAACAACTATTGATTTAAAAACACAAGTCACAATGAAAACAGGAGCTGCCTCCACTATTTCAGCACCATTTCAACTTCAACATTTCAACACCATTAAATCACCTATACATGGACAACTAAAATATACCAAAAACAATTTAGTCCAATCAATGTAAGTGAAATATGATGTGGCTGTCCATGGTTCTGATTTGTGTGTGTGTTTGTGCATTCATTCCTACTTGTAGAGAAACGCCAATTCCACCCTCCTCTCTTTCATTTTGACGAAACGGTCTATGACTGTCATACATTTCACACCTGTATTTTTTGTTGCCCTAGGCTACCTGGCTAAAACGCTTGCTCGCTAGCCTAACTTCCTTTCATGGGCAACGTTAGCTAGTTAACATTAGCCTGCTACATCTAGCTACAACCTACATATTGAACTTCCATCCTCTCAGTCCAGCGGCACAATGTATTTTATGATTGAATCAGAATCGCCGTTATAATCATTGGCCAGTACGGCGAATTAAGTAAAACCACAAGTCCAAATCCCTATCTCCATCCATGGCTAATTTAGGAAAGGGCCCATTTTAGCTAGCTAGCCACCGGAGGACAACAACACAATGAGATGCAACAATTCAAGTTGTTTCTATCAATGACATATTTCTATGTGATATCCAAACTGGCTTCCCTTGACACTATCCCAGAATGCACTCGCTACAGTCCCGAAACGTCCCACAGTGTGGCACACACAGCACACACAAAGCACTTATTTGGCGCCTCGGTCGGATGAGAGGAGAAATTCGGCAGCACAGCGCCGTTACAATTTGCAATGGCTGCAGCTTTGTCCCGTGCTCTCAAATTGCCTGGTAAGAGACGCGTTGCAATTGTTTGGGAAATAGATATAAGGGTTGATTAGGTGAAATGGATGTTGTGTAGTCTTTGTACCAGTCGTGTCTTGTCTCAATGTTGTTTTGGTGTCATTCTGTTAGCTCACATGAGCTACCTAGAACAGCCAGCCAGCTAATATCGATTGCAATAACACAAAACAACGGTTTTATTTGTTTAATGAAAGTCCAGAATTGAGAGGTGAAATACGACACTTATTTTCAATGTTTGATATTTATTTTATTTTCAAGCTTTAATAGAAAAGCATCATTGCATCATTCACAATCCTATGTGGCGCACTAGCTAGCTACTTTACTGTATGGTAGTGCTCACTGTCATAATAATGTTAAAACGGATTTAGCTACTTGCTTAAATCTCGTGTTCAACAAATAACTACAAGTAAGGCCATGTAATGGGGGTTATTCATTTAACTTGTCAATCATTATCATGCCAAACAATGAGCAATAGAGTCGGCAAAAATAAACAGATGGGACCAGGGTAGGACAGAATTAATATGGCGTTAAAATAAACAATATTTGAGTAACTTCCCTGTCCTTTTGGGCTGCCTATCGTTCTATCAGGCACCGCATACTCTATCAGATCATTCTAGTTTTCACCTGGGCCTTGTTTCCCAAACAGATCCGTAGACCCCTTTCCTGCAGTCAAATAACCAAATCGAGCTCTAGTGGCCTCAACGGTGGAATGTTATTAATATTTTTCAGAATGTCATAATTAATAAACATGTTTTTATTTTTTATGCCGAAAATCCGGTGTTTCTATGTCATATGGTTTTGTTATATTTCAGTCTTCTGTGATGTATATAAAGTGTAATATTGAGATGCAAACTCAAAATTGAATACATTTCAACTCTATATCTGACATGGTACAGGTGTCTTCTTTTTTATAAGCCCATAACCATGTGTGTGAGGTGTATACTTTTGTTTCAATTTATATTTGTTTAAGACTACCAAGAAACACTCTGTGTGACCCTGATTTAGCCCACTGCAGTAAAAGGTTAACCGTGTGTATCTTTGTGTGTGTGTCCCTCACAGGGAAGAAGGGCTCGGAGCTTGGAGAGTATGACCCCCTCACTCAGGCCGACAGTGAGGACGAGAGCGAGGAGGACGACCTGGTCCTCAACTATCCCCGCAATGGCCTGGGGAGGGGCAACTGCATGGGCGCAGGTACATCAGAGCTGAGAGGGAGCAGAACAGGGAGGCTCGTAGGGGATGAAGAGGAGGGAGAGGAGGAAGAGGAGGACGACGATGAGTGGAGAGAACGGCTCCCGGGAAAAAAGAGGCAGGAGAGAGAGGAGAAGGGCATGCAGTACTGGAGCCAGAGGGAGACAAACAGGGATGGGGGAGTAGAGGAGGAAGGGGGGCTTGGGGCCTCTGGTGGCCCTGGATTGGGTGTCAGTGCCAGTGCTGACCCAGACGGGAAGAAGGCTAAGGTGAGGGGAGCCATCCGGGCAGCGTTTTTCCTGGTGCCTCTGGTCTGTGCTATGCTGGTGGTGCTGCTGTGTGCCTTTTTGGTGCCTTGTCAGCAGGGGGAACTGGACAAACGGCTGCAGTGGGAGAAAGAGCTGGGTGATCATGTGGGAGGTGAGTGAGGAGTCTAATGTATAAACAATACACATGAAAACAGACTACAGTTTACCCGCATGTTGCTGGTTGCTGATACCAATACACCTCTCTCTCACACCAGAGAAAGAGAAAACTACAGGTTAGGTCAGACTGGTCAGACTGAGTAGACTAGTGCTTTAGATTAAGATAAGCACACAGTCAACATTACCATAAAGTCAACTGTATGAGAAAGCAGTTGAGAACACAGAACTCAGATATAGCTGACTTTTTGTCAGGGGGTGGATATTACACAGTCTGGATTACTATGATTACACATTACCGTGATAATTATAATAGCATGTTAGCAAAGCAACCGCATGTATAGTTTAGTAAATAGTAGTTACAAACCGTTGCTGTCTGTAACAGTGTTTTTCTTTTTCTTTAGGTGTTACCCCACCTCCTCTTGCACTGTGGGATGTCGACAATGACTCAGTTGAGGATGTGCTAATAGGAGTCACTCAAAAGAGCAACAATACCCATCTCTCCAGTTCTGTGGGGAACAACAGAGGTATCTATGGAAACAGCAAACAGCCTCACTACTGTTATTTTATTGTTGCTCTTTAATTATTTGTTATTTTTCTATTACTTCTTTTTTTAAACTTCTTTTTCTTAAAACTGCATTGTTGGTTAAGTAAGCAGTTCACTGTAAAGTCTACTACACCTGTTGTATTCGGCGCATGTGACAAATAAAATTGGATTTGATTTGAAATCAGAACCATGGACAGCCACATCATATTTAATTGATTGGACTAAATTGTTTTTGGTATATTTTAGTTGTCCATGTATTAGACTAAGCATAGGTGATTTGATGGTGTTGATTTTGTACGTTTGCCCCCTGACAAAGAAATGATCAGTCTATAATTTTAATGGTATGTTTATTTGAATAATAATAATAATAATAATAATAATAATATGCCATTTAGCAGACGCTTTTATCCAAAGCGACTTACAGTCATGCGTGCATACATTTTTGTGTATGGGTGGTCCCGGGGATCGAACCCACTACCTTGGCGTTTCAAGCGCCGTGCTCTACCAGCGAGAGACAGAATAACAACAAAAAAATCCAGAAAAACGCATGTCAAAAATGTTATAAATTGATTTGCATTTTAATTAGGGAAATAAGTATTTGACCCCCTCTCAATCAGAAAGATTTCTGGCTCCCAGGTGTCTTTTATACAGGTAACGAGCTGAGATTAGGAGCACACTCTTAAAGGGAGTGCTCCTAATCTCAGCTTGTTACCTGTATAAAAGACACCTGTCCACAGAAGCAATCAGATTCCAAACTCTCCACCATGGCCAAGATCAAAGAGCTCTCCAAGGATGTCAGGGACAAGATTGTAGACCTACACAAGGCTGGAATGGGCTACAAGAACATCGCCAAGCAGCTTGGTGAGAAGGTGACAACAGTTGGTGCGATTATTCGCAAATGGAAGAAACACAAAATAACTGTCAGTCTCCCTCGGCCTGGGGCTCCATGCAAGATCTCACCTCGTGGAGTTGCAATGATCATGAGAACGGTGAGGAATCAGCCCAGAACTACACGGGAGGATCTTGTCAATGATCTCAAGGCAGCTGGGACCATAGTCACCAAGAATACAATTGGTAACACACTACGCCGTGAAGGACTGAAATCCTGCAGCGCCCGCAAGATCCCCCTGCTCAAGAAAGCACATATACAGGGCCGTCTGAAGTTTGCCAATGAACATCTGAATGATTCAGAGGAGAACTGGGTGAAAGTGTTGTGGTCAGATGAGACCAAAATCTAGCTCTTTGGCATCAACTCAACTCGCCGTGTTTGGAGGAGGAGGAATGCTGCCTATGACCCCAAGAACACCATCCCCACCGTCAAACATGGAGGTGGAAACATTATGCTTTGAGGGTGTTTTTCTGCTAAGGGGACAGGACAACCTCACCGCATCAAAGGGACGATGGACGGGGCTATGTACCGTCAAATCTTGGGTGAGAACCTCCTTCCCTCAGCCAGGGCATTGAAAATGGGTCGTGGATGGGTATTCCAGCATGACAATGACCCAAAACACACAGCCAAGGCAACAAAGGAGTGGCTCAAGAAGAAGCACATTAAGGTCCTGGAGTGGCCTAGCCAGTCTCCAGACCTTAATCCCATAGAAAATCTGTGGAGGGAGCTGAAGGTTCGAGTTGCCAAACATCAGCCTCGAAACCTTAATGACTTGGAGAAGATCTGCAAAGAGGAGTGGGACAAAATCCCTCCTGAGATGTGTGCAAACCTGGTGGCCAACTACAAGAAACGTCTGACCTCTGTGATTGCCAACAGGGGTTTTGCCACCAAGTACTAAGTCATGTTTTGCAGAGGGGTCAAATACTTATTTCCCTCATTAAAATGCAAATCAATTTTTGACATGTGTTTTTCTGGATTTTTTGTTCAAATAAACCTACCATTCAAATTATAGACTGATCATGTCTTTGTCAGTGGGCAAACATACAAAATCAGCAGGGGATCAAATACTTTTTTCCCTCACTGTACTCATTTCATAGTTTTTCTTTATTTTTAATATTTTCTACATTGTAGAATAATAGTGAAGACATAAAAACTATGAAATAACACATATGGAATCATGTAGTAACCAAAAAAGTGTTAAACAAATCAAAATATATTTGAGATTCTTCAAAGTAGCCACCCTTTGCCTTGATGACAGCTTTGCACACTCTTGGCATTCTCTCAACCAGCTTCATAAGGTAGTCACCTGGAATGCATTTCAATTAACAGGTGTGCCTTCTTAAAAAATTAATTTGTGGAATTTCTTTCCTTCTTAATGCGTTTGAGCCAATCAGTTGTGTTGTGACAAGGTAGGGGGGGGTATACAGAAGATAGCCGTATTTGGTAAAAGACCAAGTCCATATTATGGCAAGAACAGCTCAAATAAGCAAAGAGAAATGACATTCCTGTATATTAATCTCCATATCTAATCCTGCTAGCCCCAGTAAACTGCTGAGAACACACAATTTGCCACACGCAATGAACCCCACCCACCTATACCCCTTGTCTATCTCCCCCTCTGTCTCTACCAGAGTACAGTGTGGTGGCCCTATCTGCTTTCAGTGGTGAGGTGCTATGGAGGAGGGTCCTCAGGGAACCTGTGGAGTCCATCCAGTGTGGGCTGCAGTACGAAGCCCACCCATCACCACTGCCAGCAGGGGGCGCTGCCCTCAGAGCCTTCCCCAACAGCGCTATTTCCCTATCTGGCCAGAGAGACAGGGCTAGCGGCCCCGTGTGTCTGCTCATCAAGTCTGCACACCTCACCGCTGTCAACAGCACCACAGGTCAGACAACAACCACAGAAAATCCTGACTTTTAATGGTTCAGTTTCACAGCTACAAGCATGAACATTTTAGCAGTAGATGTGTAGATTTATTAATAATGTGTTGTAGTTAATAGATTTATGTTCAGTAAGGAGTAACCTATTGTATTTTCCTCCTCAGGGAAGAAGCTGTGGTCGGTAGCCCCAGGAGAGATCCAGTCCCAGGCAGTCTCCCTGCCAGATCTCCAAGGCGACACTGTTCCTGACTTGCTGATTGCCACTTTACCTGCTGACCAGGTATGACAATCTCTGGCTTGGCACCTATACATATTTATGGCTGTAATAAGACAATTGTTACTATATAAATCATATTATTATTACAATATAGACCATACTCCCAAATCTTCAGAGTCACTGTGTTAACAACACTAATTTTCCAGTCAGTCTAGAATGCTCTCATCAAACTGTCTCTAACTTATTTTCAGGTGTCTGACCTCTCACTGCTCCTGCTGTCTGGGCTGACTGGCGCTCTGCTTGGACATCCCGTGACCTTTAACCTCACGACCTTTAATGTCTCTGGCAAGCTGATTGGTCCCCTGTTTCATGAGACACAGCTGGGGGCATACTACATTCTGTTTGGACTAGGTAAGGGATTCATTTTATATCAAGCACAGTGACTTTGAAAAAATATGTTTCCCGTTTGAAATGACTAAATGTCTGATAATGTATCTGCTATACTAACTCAGGCACTGTAGAGGCTGTATCCCTGGGAGATATTTACACTCAGGCTACTGGGAAAACACCCATATCCCCTGGCTTAAGACTGAAGGACCCCGGCTGGGAGAAGCTTAGGAAAACCAACTCCTCCTCCCTCATACACATCTCCAGGTAAGGCTGAGAAAGTGCTCGGTTACACAATTACAAAAGAGTGCCTGTTTGAAGGACTAACAGCACCCATTTGTCTTTGACTTTCTCTGTCCAGTGGAACTGAACAGGTGGAGTTCTTGGTCCCCCTAGTGGCTGGCTTGTGTAACAACCACAACAGCCTGGACTCCATCTCCAACCTCAACTCCAGCCGCAGTGACTGGGTGCTGGTGTGTGGCAAGCTCTCCAGCAAGCTGTCTGTGCTGCGAGAGAAGGACGCACACACCAAGTGGACTCTTACCTCCTCAGCCATACACAGGTAGGAAATATGGTTATGGTCACCATGATATATGGAGAAGTTTATAATTAGGGTGTATATGACTAAAGCATAAAAGTGATAGCTTCAGGTTTTATTGTCATGTGCACAAGTACAGTGCAATGCCTTTCTTGCCAGCTCTTTTCCCAACAATACAGTAATCAATATCAATATATAAAACTATAAAGTAAAGTAATACCCTATAACAGTGGTTTTCAAACCTCTCCTCGGGGACCCCCAGAAGTTTCACAATTTAATTGTAGCCCTGAACTAGCTCAACTACTTTACCTAATCAAGGGCTTGGTAATTAGTTGACACGTTGAATCAGCTATGCTAGCTCTAGAATAGTTCACATATATGGAACAACTGGGGATCCCAGAGGAGAGGAATGTAAACCACTGCCCTATAAAGTTATAGAGCTAAAATAACCTGAATAATTTATCACTGTCTCAGTCGTCCAGCACCAGGCCAATTCAACGATGATGGAATCCCAGATCTCCTCATACAGAAGTCTGGGGCCCCTACAATGAGAAAAGTATAATCTCCTTCTACCATCACTTACAACTAGAGCTATTATACTTCTCAGACAGTGATACATATTTACAAAGATTACCATCCATCTCTCTATGATCTCAGGTTCAGGTGGTTGATGGAGCCAGTGGGCGTAGTCTATGGGAGACAGAGTTTATTTGTCCACGCCTTGACTTGGAAGGTACCTCAATCATGACAACATCTGGTCAATCAGCTTTCCTTTTCTGGGCTGGTGACCCTCTCAGACCACCGAAGAACCTCACCAAGACAACTGTGAGTCCCTTGTTGAATCCTCCCTTATAAGGAGCAGGAATACATTTTCTATGAGAGAAAGTGTTATGATGGTTCATCCTTCAGTGGTATAGGCACGAGGGTTGGAGTCAATTCCAATTTAATTTGAAATTCCAATTAAATTCTTGAATTCACGCATGAAGTGGAGAATGTACATTGAATTCAATTCGAATTTCAACAATCTTCAAGTTATGGAATTGGAATTGAATTGAAATTGTAAAAACATTTGTATTTTAATATTTGTACATTTCCCAGTTAATGGAATTAATACAATTAGTATTGAAACATCTACTGCAGAATTTGTTTTAAATCATTTAAACTTGTATTTCTGTATTTCCAGTATAGCTAGGCTGTCTGAATATTTATATGATCAGCCTGAAAGCCTGAGGGAATTGAATTTCGAAATGGAATTTGTGGAATTGTTAGGGATAATATTAAATTGGGAATAAAATTCTTGGAATTTACCTAACATTGGAGTTGAGATGAATTGAATTATCTCTGAATTCAAAGACTGACCTTAGTCATCCACATCACCAACAAACTATCATGGTCCAAACACACCAAGACAGTTGTGAAGAGGGTACGACAACACCTTTTCCCCCTCAGGAGACTGAAAAGATTTGGCATGGGTCCCCAGATCCTCAAAAAGTTATACAGCTGCACCATCGAGAACATCCTGACCGGTTGCATCACCGCCTGGTATGGCAACTGCTCTGCATCTGACCGTAAGGCGCTACAGAGGGTAGCGTACGGCCCAGTACATCACTGGGGCCAAGCTTCCTGCCATCCAGGTCCTATATAATAGGCGGTGTCAGAGGAAAGCCCAAAAAACTGTCAAAGCCTCCAGTCACCCAAGTCATAGACTGTTCTCTCTGCTACCGGACGGCAAGCGGTACTGGAGCGCCAAGTCTAGGACCAAAAGGCTCCTTAACAGCTTCTACCCCCAAGCCATAAGACTTCTGAACAATTAATCAAATGGCCACCCGGACTATTTACATTGACCCCCCCCTCCATTTGTTTTTACACTGCTGCTACCCGCTGTCTATTATCTATGTATAGTCACTTTACCCCTACCTACATGTACAAATTACCCCCGCACATTGACTCGGTACCGGTACCCCCTGTATATAGCCTCGTTATTGTTATTTTATTGTGTTACTTTTTATTATTTTTTACTTTAGTTTATTTGGTAAATATTTTCTTAACTCTTTCTTGAACTTTATTGTTGGTTAAGTGCTTGTAAGAAAGCATTTCACGGTAAGGTCTACACCTGTTGTATTCAGCGCATATCAAATCAAATTTTATTTGCCACATGTGCCGAATACAACAAATGTAGACCTTACCGTGAAATGCTTACTTACAAGCCCTTAATCAACAATGGAGTTTTAAGAAAATAGAGTTAAGAAAATATTAACTAAAGTTTAAAAAAGGAAAAAAAAAGTAACACAATAAAATAACAATATTATTTTAGCAGATGCTCTTATCCAGAGCAACTTACAGTTAGTGAGTGCATACATTTTCATACTGGCCCCCCGTGGAAAACGAACCCACAACCCTGGCGTTGCAAACGCCATGCTCTACCAACTGAGCTACACGGGAATAATGAGGCTATATACAGGGGGTACCGGTACCGAGTCAATGTGTGGGGGTACAGGTTAGTCGAGGTAATTTGTACATGTAGGTAGGGGTAAAGTGACTATGCATAGATAATAAACAGACTGGTGGGGGGGGGGGGGGGGGCAATGCAAATAGTCCGGGTGGCCATTTGATTAATTGTTCAGCAGCTGTTAAGGAGCCTTTTGGACCTAGACTTGGCGCTCTGGTACCGCTTGCCATGCGGTAGCAGAGAAATCAGTCTATGACTTGGGTGACTGGAGTCTTTGACAATTTTTTGTAGTGCCTTGCGGTCGGAGGCCAAGAAATTGCCATACCAGGCAGTGATGCAACCAGTCAGGATGCTCTTGATGGTGCAGCTGTATAACTTTTTGAGTATCTGAGGACCCATGCCAAATCGTTTCAGTCTCCTGAGGGGGAATAGGCTTTGTCGTGCCCTCTTCACGACTGTCTTGGTGTGTTTGGACCATGATAGTTTGTTGGTGATGTGGACACCAAGGAACTTGAAGCTCTCAACCTGTTCCACTACAGCCCCGTCGATGAGAATGGGGGCGTGCTCAGTCCTCTTTTTTTCCCTGTAGTCCACAATCATCTCCTTTGTCTTGATTACATTGAGGGAGAGGTTGTTATGTGACAAATAAAGTTTGATTTGATTTGATTTAGCAAACGTTTTGGATAAGTGACTAAAATGGAATTTGAATGGAATTAAATTGAATTTACAGGGAGAGAGAATTGAGTTAGAATTCAATTAGGGGAATTAACCCCAACCCTGCTGCCAGAATGTTAACAGTAGTCATTGTTCAGGTTGGCAGTGGGAAGATTGAAAGTCCATTTGGGTGTCTCTCCTGTAATTTGTGGAATTAACCCCAACCCTGATTAGCACAAATATGTAATCCTTTACCTATCGTACTATGGAGATCAGTAGTTTAAATCTATTTTAAGTCTTGCTCTGTTAACAGGTGGCACCAGTGGCGGCTCCAGCCATGCCAGTCATCCGAAAGCTCTTCATGCTGCATCCTACATATCCCACAATCCTGCTGGAGCTCGCCAGCACCACAGACACCATACTTACTGCTGCAGGTGATGCATGCTGTGCTGTATTTATTATTTTATAATTGTGCATATGATTATGGCTGTTAGTAGCACTGCTGATCAACTGTTTCTCCCCTATTCTCTGTCATAGTGAGTTACCAGGAGCCGCAGAAGGATGCCTCCTACATTACTGTTTCCTCCCGGCCTACCTCTGGCCTGGGGCCTGGGTCTCGGGTGGTGAAGAGCATGAGCCTCAGAGCAGCAATCACTGCTGGACAGATTGTGAGGCTGGGAGAGAGCAGCACCGCCAGGGGACCAGTCAGACCTGGAGTATTTGAGATAAACAAATTCTTCAGGCGTCTCACCTTCAAACAGCATTAGGTAAAAAGGGGAGGGAACATAGCTAAGTATGTCCAGAATATGCTTTATATGACATGTTGTTTGTGGCGTCTGTGTAGTTTCGAATGACGAAACACATCATTTTGTTTTCCTGTGTAGAGAGGAGTTACCACTTGCTGGTTCTACATGATCAGAGGGAAACCACTGGCGGGACCAAACCTGTGGAAACACCATGACACACACCAAGTGAAGGAGACTCATGGAGATTTATCTCAAGCTGTTTACATTTCCACTTTTGTCCAAAGTACGATTTTATTTTCCATTATTACTCATCTCACTTGCTGAAAAATATTTATTTTGCTGTAGTGTTATTATATGTGTATATATTATGAGTTTAATTATGTATTTATGACCAGTCCTTTTTATTGAATATTGAATGTAATATATCAATTACTATTTACCTTGTTTGGGGTGTATGTAAATAAGTACATAGAGGAAACTTCTGGAGATCAAGCACAATGATTTGAAAGATAGGGGTGTAGGTGTAAGGTGTCCATTGGCACAATCGGCACCTCACTCGTTTAGTATATTTTTTATCTACAGAATGAGAGGCAATTACCCAATTTATTCCTCCAAATACATTCATTCCCCTCTCACATGCACTTTTTGAATTAGGCAATTGAGGTCTGTGTTCAAACAGAATTACCCAGTTATGGAAAGGGGGTCTGTACATATTTTTGCTGTAGTGGAGAATGGGGTATGTTGAGCCATTTTTTACATTCAGCATCACTACGTCAAGGGAAATACAGTATTATTTCCAACATTGATATCTACATATGTTTCAGGATGTTGTGTATCCCTGGAAATAATCAGAATTAATGTAAACATTACTGGGTTTTTTAAACAGCTCGTAAAAAAAAAAAAAAAGGTGATTTATTGGCACAATTTACCCTGGGTATGCATAGGGACAGGGTAAATTGAGCTGCCTTGGGGTGTCATGTGTGATGGTGTCCTGTGATGGTGCTGGCAGGTCAAAGTTTAATTCATGGAATGGGGGTGTGGTATATTGTATATCTGAAATGTATGCCAACATTCAGATATAGATCTCTCTATTCACTATCACTAACCCTTCCATTTCTTGACCAGTTGTCAGGGACAGGGATGTTGTTTCGATGTGCCAATTCAAAGGCAAGTTCTCTGCCTGAGGCTACTAAGCCCATGAAACTGGTCTGTGAGATTCTTGATATGTTTAGCAAGCTCAGACTCCATGTCATCAGATAAGACCTTGTGTGCCTCTGCTACTTGTCACATGATTCATTTTGTTGTATGGTTTCCTAGAAACAAGGGGTGGCTCAACTAACCCAATCGCTCAACTTACCCCACTCTCCCCTAAAGTATTTATTGATATGCTACTGAAATGTTTACATTTCTCTAATCAATAACTATTGTAGTGATGATACATTATTGCTGAGGGCCATGTATGGTAACTGTGCATTTTATTGCTATTGGTACTTGTAAATATTGCTGACATACTGGAAAACATTTACAGATCACAGCAATAAATAAATGTACTGCTGCAATTCTTGCTGCTACAAATGTAGTGTTTTGTACAGCTGTACTACGGATTAAGCTCCGTTCACAATAAATTATCATAAAAACACTGTTTGTTAATTAATCATGAGAAATTGTGAATATTTAATATTAGAGTAAAATGAGGGTGCAGGCTCAGGGGCGGTGCTTCGGTGCATCCAAAATGATCTCTTTCCGCATTGCTGCGAGTGTCAAAGGCTTGGAAGATGGCGTCGGTCTTGGTTCGTCTGGCCAGACTGTTGGTGTTGAAAAACAGTCGTGTACCAACAGTTGTGTACTCAGCATCAGGTGGTATTTTGAAAATATGCGCAGGTCATTTATGAAATTAAATCAATCAAATGTATTTATAAAGCCCTTTTTACATCAGCAGATGTCACAAATTGCTATACAGAAACCCAGCCTAAAAAGGAGGGGCGGGAGGAATTTAGTAAAGGTGCCTGGAAGGTATTGGTGTATGAAAAAACAGCCAGGCAAGATTTGTTAGGAAGTGAAAAATACCTGAGGACTTATATCTTAGAACTCAATGAATTTAATGAATGTTTAATCTCAGGTAGGATTTCTGTGAGCCTATCATTTACCTCTCCATTTCACTGGAAGTGTTATTAATACATGCCTGTTTAAATGTGTAAAGCATGCTTCATGTAGTAAATGTTTTTATTATTTTATCCTGGTTGTCATTGTGTATAAAATCACCCAGCATAGCAGGCTAACTTAGATATGTTTTTGTGATGGAATTCTTGACAATTGTCCAGGCCTCCTTTGGCCTTTTCCGGATTGCTGTGGTAGTGATCCCCTTCCTGTATGTCGGAACTCTGATCAGCAAGAACTTTGCTGCGCTGCTGGAAGAGCATGACATCTTTGTCCCCGAGGATGATGACTGAAGGGTCTGTATGCTCCAAAATATTATATGACCTGGGTGTGCTGTATGTATAAGGATCACTAAAATCAACTTAACATTTAAGTAATAAAGATTACATTTGACCTTAGGGAAGGTGAGGCCTATTACTGTGTTCTCCCTCAACAGAGCTTAACGTTGTGTTACCACTCAAAGGCAACGGGAAGACGTGTGACAGCTGAAAAAAGACTTGAGGATCTCAATGTCAACAATGCATTTCTGGTGCTTCTCTCCTGCCTTCTCTCCCCATCCCTTGTGATGTGTGCCTGCCTGGATACAGAGCTGTTTTAGAGCAGTGATAGGACTAATTCCTCCCTGGTGATAACGTTTACATGCAGATAAGTCTTACTAAATACAATTTAAAAAATCTATGTGCAAGAGGAAACCCTTGGATCAGTTGAAGTTGCATTTCATTTAGCCAGTGATATTTTATACATTGATGGAAATATTTGTTCTATGTTTTCAATCATTCTGGGGATATTGATTTATTTGAGAAGGCCTTAGTCAGGTGACAGGCCTGCATAGGTGTCCCTATTTATGTGGTTTCTGATATAGGTTATCAAGAACCCTTGGTGCTTTTTATTCCAAACTGTTACATTTGTTTTTGATCAACTGATCTAATAAAGACGACCTATATGTAATGTCCGTCAGTGGCATGACAATTCACAATCTATTCAGAGTCTTATCAACTAATAACTGGCTTATTGAATTGGAGTGGGTACAGGGTAAACACAGGGTCCATGACAACCATACTGATATTCCTTGGTATGAGCCATGGTCTCAGCATCCATCTTCTGAACTTGGTGATCATAAGGGCTAGTTTGCACAAACACATACAGTGGGGAAAAAAAGTATTTAGTCAGCCACCAATTGTGCAAGTTCTCCCACTTAAAAAGATGAGAGAGGCCTGTAATTTTCATCATAGGTACACGTCAACTATGACAGACAAAATGAGATTTTTTTCCCCAGAAAATCACATTGTAGGATTTTTAATGAATTTATTTGCGAATTATGGTGGAAAATAAGTATTTGGTCAATAACAAAAGTTTCTCAATACTTTGTTATATACCCTTTGTTGGCAATGACACAGGTCAAACGTTTTCTGTAAGTCTTCACAAGGTTTTCACACACTGTTGCTGGTATTTTGGCCCATTCCTCCATGCAGATCTCCTCTGGAGCAGTGATGTTTTGGGGCTGTCGCTGGGCAACACGGACTTTCAACTCCCTCCAAATATTTTCTATGGGGTTGAGATATGGAGACTGGCTAGGCCACTCCAGGACATTGAAATGCTTCTTACGAAGCCACTCCTTCGTTGCCCGGGCGGTGTGTTTGGGATCATTGTCATGCTGAAAGACCCAGCCACGTTTCATCTTCAATGCCCTTGCTGATGGAAGGAGGTTTTCACTCAAAATCTCATGATACATGGCCCCATTCATTCTTTCCTTTACTCGGATCAGTCGTCCTGGTCCCTTTGCAGAAAAACAGCCCCAAAGCATGATGCTTCCACCCCCATGCTTCACAGTAGGTATGGTGTTCTTTGGATGCAACTCAGCATTCTTTGTCCTCCAAACACAACGAGTTGAGTTTTTACCAAAAAGTTCTATTTTGGTTTCATCTGACCATATGACATTCTCCCAATCCTCTTCTGGATCATCCAAATGCACTCTAGCAAACTTCAGACGGGCCTGGACATGTACTGGCTTAAGCAGGGGGACACGTCTCGCACTGCAGGATTTGAGTCCCTGGCGGCGTAGTGTGTTACTGATGGTAGGCTTTGGTTACTTTGGTCCCAGCTCTCTGCAGGTCATTCACTAGGTCCCCCCGTGTGGTTCTGGGATTTTTGCTCACCGTTCTTGTGATCATTTTGACCCCACGGGGTGAGATCTTGCGTGGAGCCCCAGATCAAGGGAGATTATCAGTGGTCTTGTATGTCTTCCATTTCCTAATAATTGCTCCCACAGTTGATTTCTTCAAAAAAGGTGCTTACCTATTGCAGATTCAGTCTTCCCAGCCTGGTGCAGGTCTACAATTATGTTTCTGGTGTCCTTTGACAGCTCTTTGGTCTTGGCCATAGTGGAGTTTGGAGTGTGACTGTTTGAAGTTGTGGACAGGTGTCTTTTATACTGATAACAAGTTCAAACAGGTGCCATTAATACAGGTAACGAGTGGAGGACAGAGGAGCCTCTTAAAGAAGAAGTTACAGGTCTGTGAGAGCCAAAAATCTTGCTTGTTTGTAGGTGACCAAATACTTATTTTCCACCATAATTTGCAAATAAATTCATTAAAAATCCTACAATGTGATTTTCTGGATTTTCTTATCTCAATTTGTCTGTCATAGTTGACGTGTACCTATGATGAAAATTACAGGCCTCTCTCATCTTTTTAAGTGGGAGAACTTGCACAATTGGTGGCTGACTAAATACTTTTTTCCCCCACTGTATGTATCACATTAATGCATCTCTACTGTGGCAACGCAGAGGAATAGCTATGAAGTCCACAAGGAGAGCATTAAAGGAGAGCCTTCCAACTTCAAGTGGGAAGTAACAGTCCCATGACTGTTTTCACAAAATGAAAACATTTGTACAAGGAGGACTTGACACGAGATTGGGTATCATGTGTATATTTACAGTTCAATAAGGGGAAGCCTCTGTTACACTGGACAAAACAGGGTGGAAAGTACAGGGAGCAGTTCAATTGTCATGTCCAACATAAAATCTGGACAGAAAGTCTGCAGGGCGTGGTACCTCCGTCTCATGGAAATAGCGCATAATGTGGGTCTTCTGCTTCCAGACATTGATGGTCTCCTGCAGCTCCATCTTACCCTATTGTAAACAAAAGTATGCAAAGAAAACATCACTCACTACACTCGATATGTGGCCATTGAGCTTTGTAAATATTCCCTTCAAAGTTTTGATTTTTTTCTTTGAACGATTTGGATGTGTCACATGTAAAATGATGTAGAGCATGGTAGCCCAGTTATCTAGACAGAGTTTGTATCTCGGTCTAGCAGTATAACACTAACCCACCATGCAACTAAGAAACTGGGTTAACTGCATGAGCGCAAACTAACTGATTGGGGAGCAGAGTAGACTAACCTTAATGACAAGCATGTCAATCACGCGGGGGTCATTGACGTGCTTGTTTCTGTCAAACATCTCCCTCACTTTGTCTCTTCCTTGGCGAGCTGTGATGTCCAGCTGGAAGGTAGTTACTGTGGGACAAAACATAAGACAAGAAGATGTGGGCATTTTATAGGACAACAAGCTCAAGCAAATATTCATATCAACAAAATTAAATTCTGCAAATGTAGGAAGTGTATTGTACTGTCCATACATTCAAAAAAAAAGAAGTGGTTCATGACGATAAACTAGCTAGCTAGCTCATTGACTAGCTATGTAACCTTAGCTGATAGTACACTGAACAAAAGTATAAAACGCAACATGCCACAATTTCAACGATTTTTCATGAGTTAATTCATAAGGAAATCAGTCAATTTAAATAAATAAATTAGGCCCTAATCTAAGGATTTCACACTGGGAATACAGACGTGAGTATCTGGAGTGAATACCATTTGCCTCATGCAGCATGACATCTTCGCATAGAGTTGATAAGGCTGTTGATTGTGGCCTGTGGAATGTTGTCCCACTCCTCTTCAATGGCTTCGCGAAGTTGCTGGATATTGATGAGAACTGGAACATGCTGTCATACACGTCGATCCAGAGCATCCCAAACATGCTCAATGGGTGACATGTCTGGTGAGTATGTAGGCCATGGAAGAACTGGGACATTTTCAGCTTCCAGGAATTGTGTACCGATCCTTGCAACATGGGGCATTGCATTATCATGCTGAAACATGAGGTGATGGCGGTGGATGAATGGCACGACAGTGGGCCTCAGGATCTCATCACGGTATCTTTGTGCATTCAAATTGCCATCGATAAAATGCATGTGTGTTCATTGTCCGTAGCTTATGCCTGCCCAAACCATAACCCCACCGCCACCATGGGGCACTCTGTTCACAATGTTGAAATCAGCAAACTGCTCTCCCACACGCCTGCCATCTGCCCGGTACAGTTGAAACTGGGATTCATCTGTGAAGAGCACACTTCTCCAGTGTGCCAGTGGCCATCGAAGGTGATAATTTGCCCATCAAAGTCGGTTACAACGCTGAACTCAAGACCCTGGTGAGGACGACAAGCACACAGATGAGCTTCCCTGAGACAGTTTCTGACAGTTTGTGCAGAAATTATTCGGTTGTGCAAACCCACAGTTTTATCAGCTGTCCGGGTGGCTGGTCTCAGACGATCATGCAGGTGAAGAAGCCAGATGTGGAGGTCCTGGGCTGGCGTGGTTACATGTGGTCTGCGGTTTGAGGCCGGATGGACGTACTGCAAAATTCTCTAAAATGACATTTGAGGCAGCTTATGGTAGAGAAATGAACATTCAACTCTCTGACAACAGCTCTGGTAGACATTCCTGCCTTCAGCATGCCAGTTGCACGCTCCCTCAAAACTTGAGACATCTGTAGCATTGTGTTGTGACAACACTGCACATTTTAGAGTGTCCTTTTATTGTCCCCAGCACAAGGTAAACCTGTGTAATGATCATGCTGTTTAATAACCTTCTTGACCTGTCAGGTGGATGGATTATCTTGGCAAAGGAGAAATGCTAACTAACTGTAAGTCGCTCTGGATAAGAGCGTCTGCTAAAATGACTAAAATGTAAAATGTAAACACATTTCTGGGATCTTTTATTTCAGCTCATGAAACATGGGACCAGCACTTTACATGTTGCCATTTATACTTTTGTTCAGTGTAGTTGCACCACGTTAGCTAAGTCTGGCCATAGATTGAAAGTATATGTTAGCTTACTTACATCGACAAGATATGTAGCCAATGAGCTAAATAAATATATATCTAGAAAGAGTGCCTTACAGCTAGTTAACGCTAGCTAGCTGCATTGGCACGACCTTGACGCTGGGATCCAGCTCTTGCGGATCTAATACAAAGGGAGAGCTTGTTTTACCTGTGTTTGGAACCTCTCTGTACCAGGCACGATACAGTTCCCGAACTCTGCGCTTAGCTTCATCCAGATCCCTGCTGAAAATCGGTTTGACAACTTTAGCAGCACCAGCTGCTGTCCGGGTCGCCGCACTGGACGCCATGTTTGTTTCTTTTACCTTCTTCCCTGGTTAGCCTAGTTTTAATTCTACACTGATTTGAAACATATTAGTCCTGCCACCTAGCGTACAGGAGGACATTTATCCGCTTCATCTGGGCTCAAGTCAACTCACACACAAAAAAAGGTTTTATTATTTGCAGATAGTAATAGGCCAGGTTCAGGGATATACACTATATATAAACAAAAGTATGTGGACACCCCTTCAAATTAGTGGATTCGGCTTCACGTTGCTGACAGGTGTATAAAATCGATCACACAGCCATGCAAGCTCCATAGACACACATAGGCAGGAGAATGGCCCATACTGAAGAGCTGTGACTTTCAATGTGGCACCATCATAGGATGTCACCTTTCCAACAAGTCTGTTCATCAAATTTCTGCCCTGCTAGAGCTGCCACGGTCAACTGTAAGGGCTGTTATTGTGAAGTGGAAACGTCTAGGAGCAACAAACGGCTCAGCCACAAAGTGGTAGGCCACACATCTCACAGAACACAGTGCTGAAGCGCGTAAAAATCTGTCCTTGGTTGCAACACACTACCAAGTTCCATCAGCACAAGAACTGCTCGTCGGGAGCTTCATGAAATGGGTTTCCATGGCCGAGCAGCCGCACACAAGCCTAAGATCATCATGTGCAATGCCAAGCTCATCATGTGCAATGCCAAGCGTCGGCTGGAGTGGTGTAAAGCTCGCCGCCATTGGACTCTGGAGCAGTGGAAACGTGTTCTCTGGAGTGATGAATCACACTTCACCATCTGGCAGTCGGACAGACAAATCTGGGTTTGGCGGATGCCAGGAAAATGCTACCTGCCCCAATGCATGGTGCCAACTATAAAGTTTGGTGGAGGAATAATGGTCTGGGGTTGATTTTCATGGTTCGGGCTAGGCCCCTTAGTTCCAGTGAAGGGAATTCTTAACGCTAGAGCATACAATGACATCCTAGACGATTCTGTGTTTCCAACTTTGTGGCAACAGTTTGGGGAAGGCCCTTTCCTGTTTCAGCATGAAAATGCCCCTGTGCACAAAGTGAGGTCCATACAGAAATGGTTAGTCGAGATCGGTGTGGAAGAACTTGACTGGCCTGCACAGAGCCCTGACCTCAACCCCATTGAACACCTTTGGAATTAATTGGAACGCCCACTGCGAGCCAGGCCTAATCACCCAACATCAGTGCCCGACCTCACTAATGCTCGTGGCTGAATGGAAGCAAGTCCCTGCAGCAATGTTCCAACATCTAGTGGAAAGCCTTCCCAGAAGAGTGGAGGCTGTTATACCCATGGGTGGCGCACAATTGGTCCAGCGTCGTCCAAGGTAGGGGAGGGTTTGGCCGGCAGGGATGTGTGTTCGTTTCCCACGGGGGGCCAGTATGAATTTTATTTAATTTTTTTATGCATTCACTAACTGTAAGTCGCTCTGGATAAGAGCGTCTGCTAAATGACTAAAATGTAAATGTAAATGTAAAATGTTATAGCAGCAAAGGGGGGACCAACTCCATATTAATGCCCATGATTTTGGAATGAGACGTTCGACGAGCATGTAGTGTACCATTAGACTAGCCTACATACCATTACGAGTTAGGCTTAGTACAGAGTTCTGAGACTAGTGTAAGTCAGCTAAATATGGATGATTCACACGGCTGTATTAACATGCATTTTATTGCTTGTAAAAGGATGGTACTTTACAAAGATATTGCATGCCCTACATTAAATATTAAAAACATTGTCAAAAGATAGTTGTCTACTTTATCATCTCGTCACAAAACACATGATACAAAAAAACATTGGCTCATTGACGCTAGACATTTTTGTGGCACAAACAATCATGCCTACACAATGTTTGGAGGTGGAGGTTGGGAAAGGATCGCAACATGCAGCTTCTTAGCCTTAGTCAAAAATCAAGAATCCTTGCAAGACGACAAAATTTCATCAAACTTCTACAAGCAATTCTCCAGTCACAGAAGGCACTATATAAAACAAAAAGCACACATTCAGATGACTTCTATCTACACACTAGAGGAATGATTGTGATTTCCAATTTGGCTTCCCAGGAATTTACAGTAACAAGCCATGAATGTCACTTTCTCTGTATCAATCCCAATGGTAAATAGTTATAAAGTTTATGTTCACAATGGAGACCTACATTGTAAGATGATATTACACTGAATAAAGCGACAAATAGGTTTGCTTAGTAGAAATTTAACAATGACAACAATCACTGAGCGCAACCATTGTTGATATACAACATTAGGGTCGTTCCACCTCAAAAAGCACAAGAAAGAGGATTGAAACCCACCGTCTCAAATTGTTCTGAAATCGTTTCTGTAGTTAGTAAGAGATACGATTAAGATTCCTGAAACATTTTGTTTAAATATAATTTCATCTCATAAATGACGCTAATTGATTGCGCCCAAATTGTACTAAACTTCTTCCTACCAATGAGTAAGACACCCAGAAAATGTCAAAAGCCACCCACGGAACCCCCACAACCCATGCCAATACCACCCCAACAACCAGTATACAGTTTCAGTTATCTATGTTCAACAAGTCTTCTTGAATATTCCAACAAGTGGCAGCTTTCTGAGAGGGCTATCCATATGGTGCAATTCTCATATGAATACATTTTCTACAAGCCCAAAGCGTTGATGGCGAAATGGGCTAGGGACTAAAATGTGACAACCCTAATAAAATACATTGAATGGCAGTCATGTTTTTCAATAAAATTATTAGATAACAGCATTGTGATTAGTGACATTTAGCATTAAATCCAACCCAATACCATTACAAAACACTATACAGTGTATGTTTGGGACTTTTACCATTGAAGACCGTAACATTGAAACCATTAGAACTGCTATAGCTTAATGGTTTTCTTGTTCACCAGGAATGGTCTAACAGTAACTAATCCAGACCTTTTTTGAAGGGAATAAATCACACACAAGGGGGCCGTTTCATGGACACATATTAAGCATAGAATGACAAACTGAATTGCTTTCATGGAGGACTGGCTGGTTTTCTACCCAAAGTTCCAAAGGAAATGTTGTAATCTATTTAATAAACACAAGACACCAGCAAAATGGATAAAAGAGTGCGGCAGTATAGCAGGAACAGCGATATCTAATGGTCAAAACCTGGTACTTTCACACTACTTTATGGTAAATAATGCTAGCGACTTCAATTATTAATTTCTCTGAACAGGGGGGAAGAAAAACGTCACCAGATTCATAAGGAATACATTACATAGTATGGAGAAGCAATACTCCAAGCCGCAGCTTCATACTACTTGTTAAACATAGAGAACTGATACTGTATACTGGTTGTTGGGGTTGGATTGGGATGGGGTGTGGTGGGTCCGTGGGTGGCTTTTGACAATGTTAAGAGATTCCTCATGTCTTACTCATTAGTTGGAATAAGTTTGGTCCACATAGGATGTTGGGTACTATGTTTATTGAATATTATCTGAATCCTATAAAAAAAAAAAGAGGCACATTTGGGTGCAATCAATTACCTTAAATTCTCTGAGATCAAATTAAGTTTCAACAAAATAATGTTTAATGAATGCCAATCTTAACCGTTGCCAACTACAGAAACGATTTCGGAACAATCTGAGATGGTGGGTGTCATGGCTTGCTGAACTGACATGGAATGACTCATTGGTCTGTACAAATCCATGCTCTGAGATGAAAATAGTTTTGTTTTTGGCGAAAAGTATATCCTCCTTCCTTATACAGCTTTTGACAGTAGCCAACATGTAGACCAACTGTTTGTATGTTGGCTACTGTCAACATGTAAACAGTGTCTACATGTAGGTAGGTATGCAGAGAAAGGTAATCCAGTACTGTTTCAGGTCACAAATACATCAGAGCAACCTTCCACAAATAATCCAGTTACTCAGACCAATATTTTCATTCACTCACTCTCGCACATCCACAATAGGAAAATAAAGTTTAAAAAGTGCAGATTAAAATTTGCGCGACCCAGTGTAATATGACCGATCAACTGATCCTAGTCTATGCTGCTCATTGGCTGAATGATTGAAAGCTAAGGCACTATCATGGTCCCCCTAGCCGGCATCTTCTGGTGTGAAGACTTCTGCTCCTCTCCTATCTCAGTCACCATTGTGCCCATACGACTAGGAAAAACAAAACCATTTTTTTTTAGGCAATCACAGTTTCATCATAGAAGATTGATGTAATCTACTATTTCAAAGCTGTGTGAACATGCGTATGTATCTCTTAATAATGAGCTACGTCTATACCTCTCAATGTGTCTCTGAGCAGAGCCCCAGGGGCGGTGTCTCAGTGCTCCAGGCTGTTGCCTAGTTTCTGGCCCTCCTGCAGGGCAACCATGGCCAATCTCAGGTGCTCCCTAAGGCTCTGGATCTCCCGCTCACTCCTGCTCTTCATACCACTCAGCTCCCTGTGCACCTCTTTATACCGCTCACAGGCCGACTGCTTCTCCTATAGGGGTAAGGACACACATACAGAGGTTTATCAGATGGACAAAGTATACCTCTTCAACTCTGGGCAGACATACAATGTTGGAATGGACAGAATAGCCTGACTTTCTTTTTTCTTTCTCCCCCCCCCCCCCCACCTTTATTTAACCAGGTAAGCAAGTTGAGAACAAGTTCTCATTTACAACTGCGAGCTGGCCAAGATAAAGCAAAGCAGTGCGATAAAAACAACATCACAGAGTTACATATGGGGTAAACAAAACATCAAGTCAAAAATACAACAGAAAATATATATACAGTGTGTGCAAATGTAGCAAGTTATGGAGGTAAGGCAATAAATAGGCCATAGTGCAAAATAATTACGATTTAGTATTAACACTGGAATGATAGATGTGCAAGAGATGATGTGCAAATAGAGATACTGGGGTGCAAATGAGCAAAATAAATAACAATATGGGGATGAGGTAGTTGGGTGGGCTAATTTCAGATGGGCTGTCTACAGGTGCAGTGATCGTTAAGGTGCTCTGACAACTGATGCTTAAAGTTAGTGAGGGAGATA